AGGCGTTGTAGGGAATGTCGTAAGCATAGAAAAGAGATGTCAGGAAGGAATTGCAGCGGCCACTAATAAATAAAAAGCAATAACATTAAATGTTAATGTGAAAATTCATTTTTAATTTTCAATCCCACTATGAACTACCTCAAGTTAATGAGGGAAAATTTTGTTATTGTTGTCAGTAGAGCAGTTTCTAACAGAACGCCTGCCTTTACTTGCGACAGGCGTTGTAGGGATATCGTTGGCATAGAAAAGAGATATCAGGGGGGAATTGCAGCGGCCACTAATTAAAAATGAATTTTTACATTCATATTTAATGTTATTGCTTTGTTTTATTAGTGGCCGCTGCAATTCCTCCCTGACATCTCTTTTTTTTTATGCTTACGATATTCCCTACAACGCCTGTCGCGAGTAAAAGCAGGTGTTCTGTCAGAAAGTGCTCTAGTCTAGTTAATATCTTGAAAGAAGAAAGTAAATACAAGTTTTATTGCGGACTATGCAAATTTTGAACGTCTTAACTATAGAAGCAGAAATGGGAGTATTGAGGGACATGATAAAGATCCAGACGAGATAACTTTTCGCAAAATAGTTAGAGATGTGGGCTGTTCTAATTTTTACGAGATGCAAAGATTGATTTAGTAAGGGGTGAAGATAGATATGTGTGTGTAGAGATATAGGAAACTTAACACTAAATAGTATAAAACAAAGTTGCTTTCTCGCTGTCTGTCCCTATGTATGCTTAAATCATTAAAACTACGCAACGGATTTTGATGCGTTTTTTTTTTAATAGATGGAGTAATTCAAGAGGAAGGTTTATATGTATAATACATGCATAATATAGTAGAGAAACACCGATAATTTTAGAGGTTTGTAATGTGATGTCGTAATTAAACACATTTTTTGCGCTTACATTGCAAACGCTGGCTGAACCTACGAGATAGATCGAAATAATGTACTACAATATTGTACATCTTAAAAGGGTCTACAAAAAAGTCCGGGATGGTATATGTCTATCTCTTAGGGATAACCCACAATAACCATTTTTATCCTTTACTTTTTATGAGAAATAATGACTTATTTACGAAGCGATTGTAAGCAATACAGCATTAATTCTTATCCAATTAAGTACCTTAAATACAATGTGCATTTAATATAGATTAATATGGCCCTTTACAGTTTACAGCATGTAATTTAAATAAATATTTTCGAAGATATTACAGACTTAAAATGCAGAAACATAGCGGTTGCGGCGGTACCGGCCGGGAGGCCGGTTTGTATTGTCTAATGACAAAAAACTGTGAATGTTGTATATAAAGACATTCTATAGTATATTTAGTATGTTCAGGGGGTATCTTTTGAAGATTTCCCCTTCTCGATAATAATCTAAACAAAACAAAAATATACATATTTAGTATCAACATTGCACCCGTGTGAAGTTGGGGCGGGTTGCTAGTAAATTATAATCTCAGTTCTAAATACATAATTCCTTCTGTCCTATTATAATGGACAGATGAGCCTACACATGAAAATAACAAGTACAAAAGCGAGACGTAAAATGAATAATAGGCTCGGAAAATTCATCTTTGCTACTGTAGCAGCAATAATACAGCGCAAAACAACGGCAGCTTCAACGGAAGTGGAACAATTACTTTTCTTGACCTACTCGGGCTTCTTTAACCTTGAAAATTAATGAAAATGTTCCGGTCATCGACGTGTTTCTGTGTATACAATAGCTCCAGTCATCGATTCCAAACACAAAACGCGATTACTAATAAAATATTGTACTACAATACCTAGGTACATCAACTCAAGTCAAACTCAATTGTTATTACCGTTCGTCAGGAGATATATTTATTTGAATTTAGATATATGTACCTGTATACATAATTAAAATAGAATTGATATAAATAACAAATATGTAGATTTAAATTAACTACTATGCTTTTTATTCAAAACACACAGCTTACGATTAAATCTAATTAAAATATCTACGATGGGAGATCAAGGAAGAAACGCAATATAAGAAACTGTGTGTACCTCTAAATATGTATAAATTTCTTTTTTCTTCCTTAATTTTCAATGAACAATACTTTTGTGAAAATGTGTGGTTTATGTTTGATAATTAATTTTTATTAACAAAAGAAAGTTTCTGTCAATACTACAAAAGCAAGCAAAATACGCGAAATATATTTAGTAAGTAGTTAAACTCTATTTTGTATCTATGAAAAATTGACCCCTAGAACCCAACGTTTATTGGCACATATGGAGTAAATTAATTATTTGCATTAATTAGTAACAATATATGCATAATTAGTGTCTATAATAATTTGTAATTTTCATTTACTGATTAACATAATTGACACCATGCGTGACGCGAACGTACGCAGTACAAATAATGATATTGTAAGCAAAACAAAAACACTGGTATGCAAGGGAAGAAAAACTAGGGAAAGAACGAATATAAAGATAGGAGACAAAAGATTAAAAGAAGTGGCTAATTTTAGATATCTAGGAAGTCAGATAAGTCAGGACTGAAGGAGTAGTAGGGATATAAAGCAGAGGATAGCGTAGGGTCGAGTCGTCTTCAATAAAAAGAAGTCACTTGCATGCTCGCGAACGATTAATTTAGAAATTCGAAAAAGATTGTTAAAGGTGTATGTTTGGAGCGCGGTGCTGTACGGGTGCAAAACATGGACAGTGGGCGCGGCGTAAAAGAAAAGGTTACAAGCGCTTGAAATGTGGTGTTACAGGCGAATGATGAGGATACCGTGGATAGAGAAGGTTAGAAATAAATATGTATAGAATAGGAGAACAAAGGACTCTACGGAAGTCAATAAGAAATAGGCGAAATAGGTTGGTAGGACACCTTCTCAGCTCTGAAGGTCTAATCAGAGACATATTAGAAGCAGAAACAGGAGTTAAGAGGGATAGACCTAGATTAGATTACTGTTCGTAAACAGTTAAGGATGTGGGATGCTCTAGTTTTAGCGAAATGCGAAGATTAGCTCATGATAGTAAAGAGTGGAGGTGCGTATCCAACCAGTCTTGGAACTGACGATCTTATGATGATGAAATCCTTAAAGAATGAAATATCAAAAAATTCATCCTTCAGTGTATCCCTATAGACACAATATGAAACAATATTCGCTACAAATTTCAAATCTGTAACTTCGCCGGTTTAGGCTGTGCGTTGTCTGTCGGTAAATTACTTTAACACCTTTGTTAATCTTTTTGAGAATGGAATATCAAAAAAATCCCTCCTTAAGTACACCCCTGGAGTTGTCAAACAATATTCCCTTTAAGTTTCAACGGTTCAAACCCACCGGTTTAGGCTGTGCGTTGTCTGTCTGTCGGTCATTTTAATAACTCTATTTACTCCTTAAGGAACAAAATATTAAAAATCTCTCACAAAGTGCATCCCTGGAAACAATATTTCCTCCAAATTTCAAACAATGGTAATATTTGAAATTTGAAATAGAAAATCATTTCTTCCGCTGCTTTTTGTGTTTTAAGTGTCGAAATTTTTATCTTGTAGCTAAAAATGATACATAAACTGAGGTATTTTATCTAAATAAAATACTTATCAAAAAATTATTGATCACGTTCTTACTCGAGAATGAAAAATGATTAAAAGATTGTGGGTGACATTGGCATTACTAAATTGTTAAACGAAATTTCTTTTTAGTAACCAATTACTTAACCTCATCCACATATATGGGTATACCAGAGTGTAAAGTTAATATAGATTAGGTGTTCAGTTTTTTATTCGTGTTGCATATGTAACATCGGGTCATCGCAGGAGATGATAACTTTCATCTGACCTGTACGTACACTTTAATAAAGTCGAATCGGCTGGAAATGTTACATTTTGTCGACCTTGTCCTTCCAATCATATCATAGTCTGTCTTATGTCCATTTTTATTTTCGTTAAATATCAACATATTTCTGATATAGTACGTATGGCAATTCTGAATAAATTATTACTTATTTTATATTTGTTTATTAAAGTACTTTAATAATTGTTTCAACAGAAATATATGTAGTAAAAAATTAATTTTTAATTTTAAAGCTTATTTGTTATTATATATTAAAAAAATTGAATGCAAAAGTGGTTGGTCTCCGTTAGTATATTCACCTCATTAGGGTAGCTAGTCTAGTATAGGGTTGGGCAAAAATATCGATATAGCGATAGTTATTGATAATTATCGATAATAGCAACTGATAACTATCGGTTTATCGATAACTTAATAAATATATATCGACATTTTGATAACTATCGATAATCATCGAATATATCGATAACTATATGCAGTCGAGGTATAAAATTAAAAAAGAAAAATTCCTGTTGTTTAAGTGGAAAATATAAAATTGCAAAATGCCATTTGAATAAATTAATATTAAGATTCATATTTTAACAGGACCTATGTCGAGGAATGCTTTATTGTTTTTTCAATGTTCTTCGAAAATAAACAAAATAGTCAATTTTTTGAAAACACCTTAATATTGATATATTTGTAACTATGGAATTTTTTAAATATTTTTAAAATTAGATATTTTCTAAGAAAAAAAAATAAACAGTTCTTAACACATTTATGGTATATGAATTAAAAATGATGAACTTTTGTATACATATATCGATAGTTATTCATCCGTTGCTTTTTGTTTTCAATGTATCGATAATTATCGAAGCAGAAATCGATAGTTATCGGTTGCCAATATTGTTATCGATACATCTATAATTCACAATAGTAAACGGTATTTTTTGTTATCGATAACCGATAACTAAAAATAGTTATCGTCCAATACTAGTCTAGTTCACTAAGCTCAACAATAATATGTAATTAACCCTAACTTAACCTAATTTTACAACCCTGTAGATAAATAATAGCACTAGCAAAAAAATCGAAATTTTCTGTTGATAGAAATAATAATGGATTTATCTGATTAATCAAAATAATTGATCAGTTTCTTACGATCGGTAATAGATAATAAAAGTAGATAATAAATTATTTCCTTTTTTTCGCGTTCGCCTGTTTCGCCTGCATCTCCGCCTCTTCTTCAATCAAAGCTTCGACAGCCTGACTTCTCCTTTTGCACATAGGCGTTTTCGACCACCAGTTTATTAGAGCATCCTCTTCTTCTTTGTAGACAGGAATCATTTTGCTCAGTGCGTTTATTAGTTCCAAAGGACTTAACGGTTGCACTCGCAATTGAACCATTCTTTTGACGGTCATTACCTCTCTGACGGTCTTTGTAATAGCTCCTCGAGTTAAATGAATATTATTGAAGTAATTTGTTTTCTACAGTGACCAAGCGGAATGTCAACGTGATTAAGCAGGAAAGGTGCAAAATTTCGAACATGTTTTGTTTCAGAAAATTATACAAACATGCATTCATTAATGGTGATAGTTGTGTTCGTATTTTCGTAAATGTGTACATGCAAATTAGTTTTTTTAGACATTTTTTTGACGTCAATTTGTACGATCATTTATTAAGAAACAGATTGTTCGAAAATATTATTCTTAAGATACTTTATGCGTAAAGACCGCTTTCTAACTAAATTTAAGAAAATTTGAATAGAATGTTAGTAAAAATGAAATTATTAATTATTATCTAATCCTATAAATTAATTNTTGTTATTATATATTAAAAAAATTGAATGCAAAAGTGGTTGGTCTCCGTTAGTATATTCACCTCATTAGGGTAGCTAGTCTAGTATAGGGTTGGGCAAAAATATCGATATAGCGATAGTTATTGATAATTATCGATAATAGCAACTGATAACTATCGGTTTATCGATAACTTAATAAATATATATCGACATTTTGATAACTATCGATAATCATCGAATATATCGATAACTATATGCAGTCGAGGTATAAAATTAAAAAAGAAAAATTCCTGTTGTTTAAGTGGAAAATATAAAATTGCAAAATGCCATTTGAATAAATTAATATTAAGATTCATATTTTAACAGGACCTATGTCGAGGAATGCTTTATTGTTTTTTCAATGTTCTTCGAAAATAAACAAAATAGTCAATTTTTTGAAAACACCTTAATATTGACCAACACTAGTAAGGTCTCTAGAAAGTAGCACCTTTGTTCATGGAAATAATAAATAATCAAAATAGTCAATTTTTTTCAAACACCTTAATATTGACCAACACTAGTAAGGTCTCTAGAAAGTAGCACCTTTGTTCATGGAAATAATAAATAATTAATAGAAGAGTTCTCCACGGANAAATTAATTCATATTGATCGGCCAATTGATTTTCAAGATGTTTATGATAATATAATCGAAAGATGTGTAAAGTATCAGCAGCCGATAAACATTTCAGAAAATAGAATCATTCTCCTGACATACAATAAAGAAACAAAGAGGAATTGGAGCGTTAAACAATTTAACTGTTCTAATCCTTTTTAAGAAAGTGATTATTCCATCAATAACTAGGGTTGCCATCTCTAAAATTTGAAAACCAGGACAAGACGCGTGAAAACCCCAGAGTTTAGAGTCCAGAACCCGGGCATGTCAACAGATTTTTTTAAACATAGTCAGTGTAATAAAAAGCAGTTGAAAATGTCATAAATTACCTTTTTATTTATTTTCAGACCTTAAAATTAAATTTAGTAATTTTTTATCATCATTTTAAAT